TTGAGAAAGTCAGCTGATCATCAATCATAACTCCAAGGTTTCTGGCTGTTTTTGAAGGAGTTATGGTTGATGTGCCTAACTGGACGGTGAAATTGTGATGAAACGATGGGTTTGATGGAACCGCAAGCTGTTCTGTCTTGGCAAGGTTGAGTTGAAGGTGATGATCCTTCATCCAACAAGAAATGTCTGTTAGACAAGCTGAGATGCCAGTAGCTAGATGTTGCGACTTGGACACCTCACCTCTCCAAGATACCTTGAAGGACCTATCTGAGAGGTAAGACTCAAACCACTGGAGTGTGGTTCCTGAGATGCCCTTTGCCAATAGGGTTGACAGGAGGATCTGGTGGTTAACCGTGTCAAAAGCAGCAGACAGATCCAGCAAAATAAGTACTGAAGTATTTGAACGACACAATTGTATAACATAGCATAAAAAACAGAGAATAGTGAGTTGCACTCTTAGTGAATAGAGACGACACGAACAGAGCTTTTCATTGGCTACGTTTACATGCACAATTTTTGGTTCAATCGGACTGAATTCATTCCGATTGATGAATCTGAATGTAGTGTTTACATGAACACTAAATAAAGTGATCGGGTTGATGTGCGCGCTTATATGTCACAAGCTTTTTTTTACATGCGCACACTGCACAAATTTCTCACCGTTTGCACATAATAACCACTCTCCTACACTGTTTCTTTATATGTTTTTAACAGCAGAATTAATATTTATCCATTTGTAATAATATTTAATAATTTATGCATTTAGCAGATGTTTTTAGCCAAAGTGACTTACAGTGCATTCAGGCTATAAATTTTTTTACCAGTATGTGTGTTCCATGGGAATTGAACCCACGACCTTATGCGCTGCTAACGCAATGCTATACCAATGAGCCACAGGAACATTTATGGATAAATATACATATAAACCGCTGTGCCGTGCTGCTCAAATTTATCACGCAGTAAAAATGCCCCTCCCCGCGCCCAAAACGGGTTGCCTGTTGGTGAGAATCCAAAACAAGGACTGGTGGGAGGTTGTCCTGCTCCTCTTCACAGTTGCTGAGTGAAAGGAGAGTTTTATAATGACAGGACACGCATTTATACAACACTTTATTTAAAAGGAAGAACCGCTCGTTCCGCGTGTCATACGTCATTACGCGATTTCTGCATCATTGCACATGCGCAGACCTTTCAGTTTCGGGGTTCAATCCGATCGAGTGTTTACATGCACTCTCAATCGTATTAGAAAAGGAATAAACCACCCCCTTCAATCCGATCGAAATTTCAAGACCATTTTGTACCATTTCTTAGTTTAACTGTTTATCTAAATGTGCTGAAGTGCTCTAATCTTTCTAACATGATTGTTCTTCAGCATCATGAATGAATGAAGAATAAACACCAACCTGTTAGTTCTTCAGTGTCTTCAGTGTGTTTGATTCTGCAGGGTTCTGGATCTCTCATCTTCTCTCTGTCCTCTTTAATAAACTCAGTCTTTGCAGATTTCAGGTCTTCCTGATGCTTTGATGCTCGTCTGCACATCATCTGTAAACTGATGGGTAGGCCTATATTCCAGCATTTACTGGTGAATTGCAGTGGGAGGAGCTTCACTGATGATGTGATTGTTGTGGGAGGAGCTTCACTAAACATGAATTTCTGTGTGGAAAGGCAATTAGCCAAAATCAACAACAAATCAGTTTACTTTTTTGTAAACTTACTCCAAATTCTATCTTTGAAGAGACCAGAGCCTTACAAATACAGTGTTGTCTCTTTGTACGTCATTATATTACTATATTAAAAGAAACAGCTTGACAGAAAGATGCACAGCAGTTTAAAATGCTCATTCAGTAACACTGCACGCACATATGTGGTAGTTCACATATTCTGTGCATTTCTGTTTTGTCTATCTTTCTGTCGTTAACATTTCCCATCTTTATTAACAACAACAACATGTAAATAACTACACTGAAGCACTTAATATCTAAATATAGTTTGGTTTCCTAATAACTACATTCAGATTAATAAAGTAATCTACTTACATGTTATACTTTTATATGCAGAAACTGATAGTGATAATAAATCCTCTTTAAACAGAAAGATTTTAAGGTTTCCAGTGTCTATAAATCTGTTCATATTTAACTTTTGTATAGATTTAAAATGTCCCAAGTGGCACATGTAGGCTCAATATGAAGTATTTAGCAGTGTCAGTTCTTCATTTTAACCACGTAAAGTAACAAATTTATTCTGCCACAAGATAAATCTCAAAAGAGAAATAATGTTAGCAATAAAATCGCAGATCCATTCCCCTCACAGATCACAAGACATTCAGTAACAGCAACATTATCACCACAAGCATCGAATAATCATTCACAAGAAAACAGAAACACAAAATCGCTCAGGTCTGAATGTTTCTTGCCTGCTGTTCTAGCAAACACACAAACAGTGCGGTACTCGATGAAAATGAGGCAGAAACGACCTCGCATATTGTTGCATAAACATATACTGTATAAAGTGTGTTTGATGGTTCCTCAGAAGACTCGACGCTGCTGAATGAGCTAGCGCGCTAGTGATGACGTCATCGCCACGAGGCGAGATCAACGGCAGATCAAAAAAGCGCCAAACTCTATTTAAAACGACAAAACATCTATAAAAACGCATCAAGCTAAAATCATGTAGACAAACAGCCGTCTCGTTCAATCTCAGTCGTGTGGGGTAAAATATAGTTTATTAGGCAATTAAAAGCTTTATAGAGAAATTTAAAACAGAAATCCCAAAAGGCAAAAATAATACTTTGTGGCTTTCAGATATTAAAACTAAAATTACAATATTACTTTTTCTGATGCAAATACAATCATCAGAGAATAAGTTGTTGATAAAATATAAAAGGTAAAGATATAGGTGGAGCGTGTGTGCCACAGCCAGTTGGGGTAAAAATGCCACTAAATTGGACAAAAATGCCCCTGCACAAACAAATTAAATCTATTACGATTGTTGCTAACAAAATAAAAATGAATAGGAAGTGTTGTTTGCGGCATTAAATTAAGATCTGCTCATGTTGCACCGTATTTTATTTGAGGCGTTTTTACAGTGTTGCGCATTATAACCAATCACACACAATTCTGTTGAGCTTAGGAATGGAATGGCCAATCAGAGGCGTTCAGATGAGTCATCGCTGAAACTCATCAGTTTTGAGTGTGCGCGTGTTCGCTGACTGAATTCCGGTGTACAATGATGTACAATGTACAATGTAATTAATGCTGCGTTCAAGTCCTCTTGGGATGTTCGTACTTACGAGTTGACAAGTCGTAATTACGACGTCAGGTGCGTTCAAGTCAGTTTAGTCGGCACAAGATGGCGGTGTACCTTCTTTTAATAAATTACAAGAAAATACAATAGGGTCTGCATTTTTTTACTTGGATTTCAGCTGCGTAACAAGAACAAGACCAATTTAAGTTTATAGGACAACTAAACTATCAATTTAAACAAAAATTTACCGTCAACTACAGACGTTGCAGCCATTGATTCCGCCATGTTTCTCATTGACAGGCCCCCAACTCGGGGCTTAAAGAAAATGTAGAGTTTCCCACTCGTAATAACGACTTTGTGGTGGCGTTCATGTGCGTTCAACTCGTAAATACGATCTATCCGACATGACTTGAA